TTTTTCTTTTCTTTTTTTTCTTTTCCTTTTCGTTTTCTTTTCTTTTTGCTTTTCTTTTTTCTTTTCCTTTTTCCTTTCCTTTTCTCTTTCTTTGCCCCCTCTTCCTTCCTTCCTTCCTTCTTTCCTTCCTTCTTTCCTTCCTTCCTTCCTTCCTTCCTTCCTCCCTCCCTCCCTCCCTCCCTGTCTCTTTCCCTGTCTCTTTCTCTCTTTCTCTCTTTCTCTCTCTCTCTCTCTTTCGTCATTGAATTTCTCTCTGCTGTTTCAGGTTCAAAGACAAGTAACAAACCGCTTGTACCCTCAGGGGATTCAGGTAGGGTGGTGGGGGGATCATTGTGGTCTAAGGAGGTGTGTGCAGGACCCTGGCAGAGGAGGAGCCTGGAGAAGCTTCACAGAGAGAGGACATTTGACCCAAGTCTTGGTGGTGAGTTTCAGGCAGCCAGGGGACAGGCCCTTAAAAGGAGAAAAGCAAAGAGAGCTGTGTTGTGCAACAAGAGGCAGCAGGTGAGGTGGAAATGTGGTCGGGGCTTGAAGGCTGTGAATGCCGTAGTCAGGAATTTGAACTCGATCTTGTAGACAGTGGGTAACGCTGTGAACGAACTCGCACACACCAGTGCCACAGGAGGAAGGTAAGACCAGAGGGGTGAGGCCCATGAGGAGGGTGGTTTAATAATTAAAGCAAGCAGCATAGACTGAAACCAGGGCTGACGTGAGAGCGTGGTAGAGACAGAACCTTCGAGACTTTCTTACAGGTTCTAAGGTGAGAAAGAGATCTGGAGTCTGGGAGAATGCAAGGCTTTTGTGAATGTTGGGCCAAATGGGTCCACTAAAGATGCCCAAAGGGAAGAGAAGGATTGAGGGGGGACAGCAAGTTGCTCCTTTTAAGCTGCCTCTTTGACAACAGGCCGCCTATCCAACCGAAGTCTGGAATGGCAATCTAGAGCCCAGGGCAGGATTAGACCTGGTCACGTAAACGGGAGAGGCGTTAATAGGAAGGTCAGAGGTGATGGCAACCTTGGCTCTCTGTTGGGGAATGAAGGAAGTACAAAGCAAAACTTCGTGACGAACACCTCTTGAGTACTGACCGTAAACCAGGCTCTCAGGTGAGCGCCGAGGCTTTCTTACTATCCCCACCTCTCATCTGAAACGGACGCTTCAGAGGGGAGGGGGCTAGCCCGTCACGCCATTAGCGAGTGGCTGATCAACGAGCAAGGCACAGGCCCGTTGGACTCCAGATTCTGTGTTCTCATCAAACCATGGTTCAGCAGGGACTCCAGTTGAGTTAAAATCCATTTTTAGGGGGGCACCTGTGTGGCTCAGTCAATTAAGCTTCTGACTTCAGCTCAGGTCATGATCTTGCAGTTTGTGGGTTTGAGCCCCGCGTCGGGCTCGGTGCTGACAGCTCGGAGCCTGGAGCCTGCTTCGGATTCTGTGTCTCCCTCTCTCTCTGCCCCTCCCCCACTTGCATTCTGTCTTTCTCTCTCTCCCAAAAATAAGTAAACACTAAAAAATCCATTTTTAGGTTTCTGAGAGGATCACTGTTGATGTCTAAGCAGCATAATCCGTAGGCATATCCCTGGGGACCACCGGTGCATCCTGAGGGAGCCGAAGGTCCTTTTCACGCCCGCTGACCTTACCCTGGGACGTGGCTCGCGTCCAGATTCTACCGCGATAGTCTTGTTTGATCCTTAACAGCCACTCGGAGAGGCCGCGTCATGACCGTCCGCTCTTCACCTGCTTTGTGCCTGTGGTGGGGTGGACCCTGGCCTGGAGCTCTCCATCGTGAGTTCACATGCAGCCTGATGTTTGGCTGGCCCTGCGTGAGGCCTGTGTGTCTTTCCAGACTGTTGGAAAGGATGGTGCTCGAGTGTCCTTTCTTCGTGTGGGGACACTGTGCCGTTCAGCCACGCTCCGTGCACCGTCAGTGGAGGTGCACAGGCTCTCCCGCGCCGGCTCTGCAGGCCCGGGGGGGCGGCTAGTGGGGCCTTCTGCGTCAGCCCACTCACTTTCTGAGCCTTGTGCCGTTGGCTGTTTTACAGGGGACAAGATTTGTTTTGTTCATAATCGTCTCAGGCCGTGTATTTTATTTCTCTTTGGATTACCATTTTGACTTTATATTATCTGTCATCATATTAAATCAGCCTTCTGATGATTCCCCAAAGATTACCCAATGTGTCTTTTGAAAAATCCTCATGAGATTGGTATGTAGTTTTAAAAGTCAAAGTCAATATCGGACTTCAAAGATCCCTTGCCTTCAGTGGGTCCTGAAAAGCATTTTCAAAAGGAGGCATCGGTGATAAAGAAATTCGTTGGCAAACAAGTGTCAGGACCAGAAAACGGGATGCTCGGGGCCGCTGGAAGCAAGCAGACTGGGGGCTCATAGCTCCCTGGATCTGATGCCTTTGTTAATCCCCTGTCCGCTTTCATTTCTGCTTAGTCACAGCCACTGAAGGCAGGACTTAAATTAATGCCTCAGTCAAAGCAAGCAGGCCTGATGGAACATCTGTCCTCTGCGAGGCACGGTCTCCAGGACGCATGTGGCACACTGAGAAAGGACTCCCCCCACTTAGCACCTGGCCTTGAGAATCATTTCTTCTGCGGGAAGAGTGGGGTGACCTTGAACAAATCATTTGATTCTTTGACCCACAATCTTTTATCTATGAAACAGAAATTGAAGTTCCTACCATTTATTATTTGATCTAATCAGAAAGAGCTTTGAGGCACGGTAAGTGATAAAAGCAAGGAATAGAGAACCGCCCAGAGCCTTTTCCCACGTGTGAGTGTGTCTGCGTGTGTTTCCAGGACGTGCATACATAACACACACGTGCACATGTATGTACGGAAGTCTTCTAGGAAGACCCACAAGAAATTACTGGACTCTGGGGAATGAGGCACTTTAGATTGTTTCTGGAAACACTGAGATTTTTTGCCATATGTATATTCTAATTTTGAAAATCAGAATTAGAGCATCTGCTTTGTATGGTGTTTGCCAAAGACCAAATGAGGTCAAGATCAGGGGAATACCTAGATGCCTTGCGAACGGCGGATTCCTTCTTGCTCCTTGGGTCTGGGGGTCCAACACGTGCACTCTGCTACCCACAGGCTCTGCTTGTCTTTCTATAACTGCCCCGACTTCTGATCCTTACAGAATAAGGATGAGAAATGGGGATAATGTGGATTACCTGAGGGCCTAGCTGACTGAATTCTCTGCTTATGAAATGGAAGAGTCTTTTGGTTCCAAACCTCACTGAATGTGTCTCATAAGTTCAAATCCAAAGGGACCTGGTGGCCTTGTAATGCAAAGCCAGGTTTCAGTCGAGGCCCTGGGGAGGGTTCACGGAAGGCCTCTCCAGCGGGTCCTGTGGCACGCTGCCCACATCCCTCCTCAGGCCTGAGTCACTGCTTCTTCACACTGCCAGGGATGTCGGGAGCCTCAACCAAGCCCCTCTCTGGAGGGGCCAGTTGGCCAAGCCCCTCTCTGGAGACGGCTGTGTCTGAGAGAGCTGCTGACCCAGGCCCCACCTCCTCCGCAGGGTCATTCACACTCGATAATGGTCAGTGCATGGGTGCAGTCGTGCAATGCACGGCCCCTACTCCGAGGCCGACGGCCCTGCAGCTCCAGAGCCCCCCGTGGGATGGACTGAGGTCTCCGTTGTCCTGCACGACTCTCTCTGCCCAGTCCTACTCTCCCGCAGCATTGCCCCCCGACAGCACACCCAGCACCTCCTGTAGGCACCGCTCTGTCTCAGTCTTTTTGCTAGGGACCTGCCTTATAGCCATCTCAGAGCCAAGGGACAGATGCTGACCGGACGCCTCCATCCCGGTTTCCTGATTTGTAGCACCTTGTGTGACTCACTCATCGTGATGCTGTGATTAGACCCAGTACAATAGACCTGTGATCGCCTGCCTTCATGGCACCATTGAGAGTGCAGATGAGTGCCGATGGCCACGGACCCCTATCACACCTGTCCTGTCCCCATGGACCAACTCAGTCCTCCCCGATGGCAGCAAGGAAGGAGACCAAACGAGGCAGGAGGCTGCCACATCACCCACTCACAAGAGCCTGAAGGGTGGGATTCTACCAACTCGCCGTCTGGAGTTTCTTGCAGCAGGACGGACAGGCAGCAGGGGATCGTGCAGAGCCATTTGTGTCCTTTCATGGCCCCTTGAGCAGTAGATGGACAGGAAGGTCCCACATCCATGGAACTCTCCAGCCCAGTACTCACGCCTTCCTCCTCTGTGGACCAAGGTCCTCCCTGGGGCTTCCTTTCTCTGTGTCCAAATCAAATCCCTCCTGAAATTCGCCCCAAGACACCCTTCTCTCTTGAGTTTGTGCCCAAGTCAGGACTGGCCTGTGTCCTCTCTTCTGTCGTGTCTGGGTCTCCAGGTACATCGTGACTTGGCCACCTTGTCCTCATCGCACAAACCATAGTTGGGTCATTATACCCATTTAAGGCTCCCTACGTCTGTAAGCAGATGGCAACGTACGGAGCCTCTGAGGCCGACTTGGGTTCAGTCTCTCACCAAACGCACCTGCCATGTTGTGTATCTAAACCCACAACTACACCCCATCTCACAGCAGTGCATTTTGCTCTCTCTTGGACCACTCTGCCATCCACCAGGAGGGTCTCTACAAATTCCTCATCTCCCTGCGAGAGGAGACCCCTCTGTCTGTCCCTGTCTGCTATGAAGTGCTGTGCAGTGGCCGAGGAACGAGACTTGTGAGTGGGTCCCATTAGGTTATCCCAAACCTTGCAGGTCAGTGCCCTCCTCCTCCTCCTCATTCGTTGTTACTATTACTATTATTATTGCCATTATTATTATTATCGTTGTTGTTTTAATATGAATGCACAAGACAGAGGCTCGGCAGATCTCCGTGTCTTTCCTGCACAGAGAGGCAGGGACTCAAACTCTCCTTTCCCTGGAACCGTGAGCCCCTCCTCGGTTGTTCTCCGAGCCAGCCGCATGGTGGCCCCCAGCTTCTGTGTCTGTCCCGCCCGCAGGGGAGTTTCTATGTGCCCTCGGAGAACTGCATGCAGCACGCACACAAGTGGCACCGAGAGCTGTGCTTCCTGCTCCTGCACGCCTACCGGGGGCTCCGCGCCTACTTCCTGGTCATCATGAGGGACGTCCCCGAGCTGCCGCACACGGAGCTGGGTAAGGGGCCGGGCGCGGGGCGCCGCAAGCCGCGGCCGACCTGCCCCTCTTGGGCCGGGCTTGAGAGAGCGGCGTGTTTTGTGAGTGTCACGGTGGCAGATATGCTCCAGGTATGTGTCGTGTATGTTACCTTGTTCTGGAAGGAGGGAGTCTGGGACATGCACCTGCAGGAAGTCGAGGCAGGAGCCCCCCTCGGTTCACCCACAGGGCACTTACTGAACACCTGCTACGTCCACCGGGCACTGCTGACACCATGTTGACTTGCTTCCTAAGGGAAAATGCCAGTTTATAGCCTTTCATTTTTAATGAGGCTGCAGTTACAGGATTGCAACTTACAAGAGGGGAAAACAACCCCCCAAATAATACATATATTGTTATATATTATATACATATGTAAATATGTTATGTACATATATATAATGTACATATGGTATTATATACATATATAAATATATTTTTATATGACATATAATTTTACTATATGTTATATTATTATATACATATATATTATATATATTATGTACATATATAAACATATTTTACATATAACATAATTTTAATAATTTTAAAGTTTTACATATTTTATATAAAATGTAATACCTGTTTCATATTTTCTATTTTAATAATTTTAGTATGTTTTTATAATCTTATATAAAATATATAACATATTTTATATATAATATAAAATATTTTCTATTTTTTGATGTATATTCTATATTTTGATGTATAACATAAATAATATGTTTTCTATATTTTGATGTATAACATAAATAATATATTTATGTATACTTTATAATATAGATATCTAAATATTTATATATTTGTATATAAATATATGTTATATATGTTTTTAATCTGGATGATTATGGAAACCTCTCAGTAGCCATCATCTTTGGTTTTCTGGGGATGGATTGCTCCGTGCACTTCATCAGACATCATGGACATCACTGGGCCTGAATCCCTCTTTGTTGCCAGATGGTGGAACTGAGATCAGAGAGGTGTAGTGACTGCTCAGGGTCACACACAGCAGTGCACGGCAGGACTAAGACAAGAGCTCCTGCAGTGGCTCCTGGGGCAGGGTCCCTTCTATCATCCCTCTCATTGACAGGAGGTGACACAGTGTGATTCTGCTGTCAGTCCTCTGCTGAGGACCCTTTGCTTCCAGAACAGAGGCCAGGTCTTTAGCCTGGTTCAGGGTTAAGAACAGTCCTGCTGGGGTACCTCAGTTTCCCCACTTACACTCCTAGACCTACTGAGCCGGTCTTGGCTTTGGAGGTATTTATGGCCTCATACGTTGTCCATTACTGCACTGCACACACCACACGAGAGTGATATCCTATTTGCATGTTTCTCATCCCCACCAGATGTGGGGTCTTGGAGAGCAGAGGCCCCCTCAGATGCCCCCTCTGTGCCCCCCCAGGCACAGATCCCTTGTACACAGTGCCTGGCCTGCAGGGTGAAGGAGTCGGTACAGGGCGGTTGATGAATGGTGGTGCCATGTTCCCATCTGGGCTTACCAGCTCTGACCCCCTAGACAAGTCAGGCACTACTCTGAATCATGCAGTAGCAACATCGAATTTTTTTCCGGTTCAGATGTTATACACACCATAAAAGCATGCACAGAACCAGAGACAGCTTACGTAACCCAAAGGGAAAATGGAGATTGTACACGGACAGTTGACTTGTTGTTTTAACTTTTTGCCCAAAGGAACTGGGTTTATTTGCTCACTCATTCACCATCATGTTTTTACCAAGCCTCTACTATGTGCCAGATGCCCCGGACACAGTCATGTTCAATATGACAAAAGTCTGCTGTGCCTGGTGGGACTCACAGACCCGAAGAAGGTGCTGGATGGGGGCAGGGGGATAAGGCATGTGCTTATCAGGACATCAGTGAGGATCCAGAGGTGTTGATGGATTGGTCCCACTCATCTGGGCAGCAAGGCTTTAAAGGGACCTGATGCCGTGGCCAAGCGCAAACCCCCGACCACGTGTCATAGAACTAGGGGAGAGTCCTAATACAGGCAGATGCAAGCATTAAATCACCACTGGCCAGAGGCCAGAGGTTCCTGCTGATCAGAGGTGAGATCGCCAGCTCCTCTGTGGGTGGCAGGGAAGGTCGTGATGACCCTCAGTGTCAGAGTCAGTGGTCTGGGTTCAGCTCTGCTGCTCCACTTCTCTGTGCTTCCCAGCATTCACCTGGCTGATGGAGATCCAAACCCAGGCCCCACATGCGTCACACACACGGATGCATGTACATCCACACCTGTAGGCACATACCTGCAGAAGTCCAGAAGAATGTGGGATCGCTCTGAACCCCACAAAGTGCTGTGTGAATGTGGGGGCCTTCTATTCCTCAGAAAGGCATCCCTGAGATGCTGTTGACCTTTATCTAGTATGAGGTCACCGGGCTCCAAATCAGGTTTCTCCTTTTTATAAATATGACCCCGTTAGGCAATTAGAAGAGAAAGAGGGAGAGTCCTCAGGCCGTGTGTTTCTTTCTGGGACTCAAACGCCAACCTAAATGTATGCTTCTTTATTGTAGTTAGCAACTGCAACTTTTCAGCGTGTGTCCATTTTATTGTGCATCTTTTTGTTTTTTCTTCCTAGAGTCCCTTGCTGTTGAGGAAACGCTTTCTCAGCTGTGCTCCGAGCTACAGGTAATTAGAAAACTGGTCCTGTGGGTCTGAAGGGCAGTCAGCAGTACAGGGCCAACATGGGTGCTGGCTTGATGTAGAAGTCGGAGATGAAGACACGGGGCACGTATGCTCCCTCTAGACCTGCACCTCCTCTACCCCCTCACCCTTTGTTCTAAGTGTCACTAGACCTCTAGCTCTCTGCGAGAGGCTTTGGGAGAAAAGAAACCAGTTAACAGGTCTCTGTCCCTGGAGCTGACGCTACATCTATTTGTCGATTACTCATCCATTTAACAAAACATATTAACGACCAACTGTGTGCCTCTCCCGGAGGGTGATGGAGACTTTGCGCCTGTGCCCAGATGGCCTCAGCCATGGCTGGGGGCTAGCAGCACGATGATACTGATGATGGAAACAATTGCATTTGCCAAGGGTTCATCAAGCATGCATCGAGACTGTGTGCTGAATATAGGCACTTGGCTAATGTGTGCTGTTGTTACCTGCGATCCCTGGAATACTTTCACATCCCGTTGCGTTGGGTGGCCTAGGTGCATACTACCCACTGTCCTTCTAGAGCGAGAGGCAAATTAAGGTGGAACCAAGGCTGGCAGCTCGGGGTTGGTGACACTTTAGTCAGTGCTAGAAGCTGGGCTCAAAAGACCATCTCATTGCAAAGTGATGCCCCTGTCTCGTAGACCAGTGTTTTCAACCCTTGCCGCATGGCAGAAACACACTTGGAACTTGAAAGATGTGCCTTTGCCCGGGTCCAGCCTGAACCGGTGGAGACAGAGGATGAGGGAGTGGATCTCAGGTATTTGTATTCATTAAACGCTCCCCGGAGCAGTCAAAACCACAATGAGACATCACCTCACTCCTGTTAGAGTGGCTGTTACCCAAAAGACAAGAGCTGTCAAGTGCTGTCGAGGATGAGGAGGAAAGGGAAGCCTCGTGCACTGTTGGTGGGGATAAAAGCTGGAGCAGTCACCGTGGAAAACACTGTGGAGGTTCTCCAGACGTTTAAGACGGCAGCTGTCATAGGATCCAACAGTTTCGCTACCGAGTAAACATCCAAGGATGTAATCACCATCCCGAAGAGACGTCTGCACGCCAGCATCCGCTGAAGCGTTATTCACGATAGCAAAGGCCTGGGAACAACCTGGGTGTTCATGTGCGGATGAATGGGTAAAGAAAACGTGGTCTATCTGTGCAGTGGAATACTATTCAGCCATAAGAAGCAAATCCTGCCATTTGCGACAATGTGGATGAATCTTTTTTTAAGTGTATTTATTTATTTTGAGAGAGAGAGTGGGACAGAGAGGGGGAGAGAGACAGAGCGCAGAGAGGGGAGAGAGAGAGAGCAGAGACAGAGAGAATCCCAAGCAGTCTCCACACTGACAGCACGGAGCCCGATGTGGGGCTCAAATTCATGAACCGTGAGATCGTGATCTGAACCGAAACCAAGAGTCAGCCCTGCCCGACCGACTGAGCAATTCAGGTGCTCCACAACGTGGATGGATCTCGAGGACATCATGCTAAGTGCAGTGAGTCGGGCGGAGAGAGACCGATCATGTGTGATCTCACTTACCTGTGAAACGTAAAACAAAAACCCGAGTCCTAGGAACAGAGCACGCTCGGCGGTTGCCAGAGGACGGGGGAGATGGGGGATGGTGGTCAAGAGGTACAGACTTCCTGTTAGAAGATGAGTAGGTTCTGGGAGTGTAATACATGGTGTGGAGACTGAAGGTGACAGGAGTGTTCTGTGTGCTTGAAAGTTACTGCGAGGGTAGATCTTAAGTGCTCTCATCAAAGAGGGGAAGCGTGGTAAGCAGGTCAAGTGACGGACATGTTAACTAACCCGATTGCGGTGATCACTTCACAGTGTATGCATTTATCAAATCGTGATGCGGTACACTTGGAATGCCCAATGTTCTATGTCAGTTATTTCCCAGTAAAACTAGAAGAAAAAAATTCGAAAGGAAGAGCTCCCCAGATGAGTCTCCTGTGCCACCAGGGTTGAGAGCCCCTGGTCTAAAGCACGTCATAAAGTCAGCAAAACACTTCCTCCCGGTGGTAAGGCAGAGCACAGAGGTCATGCTGCGTGCTGGGGTGTGGAAGGGTCTAGAAAGGAAGGGCCATATGCTGGGAGCCCTGAGGAAAGGTGGGGCTTAGGTGTCACAGTCAGCAAGGAGTCACATCGCAGGCGCTGCTCCTGATACAGGTGGGGACACATGAGGGACACAAGAAGTCTGCTTAGAGAGTGTGGAAGGGAAAGATGTGGCTGGCAAGGGACCTGGATGCCACCACGAGGAGCATACACCCCCTAAACGTGGAGGTGATGAAGGCGGTGCACCAGAGGGACGGCAAAGCGGTCCACCGGGCGGAAGACAGCAGGGGCCGCTGCTCTCCCCTTCCCCTGAGTGAATCCAGGGTGGCGGCACCTTGGAAAGGTCCACAGGCTTCCAGGCCCAAGTCCAGGCTCCAGCCCTTCCTCGCGTCAGCTGCGTGATCCTGCACCTGCGATTTAAGATCTCTACAGGCCTCGGATTCCTGTGCGTGTGTCGTGCTTGTTGTGAGGGGCCCAGGAGAGAGCTCACGAGAGGACCCTGCGAGTGCCCGGCCCAGGGGTCTGCCGAGCAGAGAAAACTGGGGGTCTCAGCTCCGCCCCTTGTGGCGTCCCAAGGAGGCACAATCTGCGAATTACCGAACGCTTGGTTCTAGTTTTAGAAAACGCAGCCGTGCACGGCTGTTCGTCACCCCGCCGACCGTCTCTCCTCCCGCTGCCAGCGCGGTGTGCGGTCAGAGCTGGGGTGTCCCGTGCGTTCTCCACTGGTGGCCGTGCCTGTGTCGCTCCGGTTCCCAGACAGCCAGCATTTCCCGAGTGTGCGCTCTGAGGCAGGTGCAGGTTAAGCGCTTGTGGTGTGCAGTCTCCCCCTGTAACCGCTGGGACTCTGCCTTTTTTTTTTTTTTTTTAAAAAAAGGTTTATTTCTTTATTCTGAGAGAGGCAGAGAGAGGGGAGAAGGGGAGGGGCAGAGAGAGAATCCCAAGCAGGCTCTGCACTGACAGCACAGAGCCCGACACGGGGCTGGAACTCACGAACCGTGAGATCGTGACCTGAGCTGAAATCAAGAGTCAGACGCTTAACCGACGGAGCCACCCGGGCACCTGGAGACTTTGCCTTTATAGAAGCACTCGGCCAGGGCACCCAGTAAATGGTGGAGGGAGATGGGGTGCCTGCTCCCGGGCTGTGCAGTGCCCGGCCCTCTGCCTCAGTTTCCTGCCGTGCTCCTCTCCTCAGGGTGACCTCACTAGGTGCCGGGTGGATGGGGGGCTGTGGTCGTGACCCGGAGTCATGACACGCTGCAGAAGTGGCCCCGTCCACGCCAGGGAGACCTGGCTTTGAATTCCACACCTACTAACCGTGAGACTTTAGACAAGTTGCTTACACTTTATGGGCCTTGATTTTCTCATCTGTGAAGTGGAGACACAATCACTTGGTTTTGATTAACCTCCTTTTCTCCGAGTCGTAAGCTCTCACGCTGGCGGGCTGCGGGCTGCTATTCTGCGTGCGTTTCCTCAGTTAACGGACGCGGCAGTTCTCCAGCATGGGCGATCCTGTTTTTCTCAGCGGATGAAGCATCAGGACTCAGCTCACAGAGGACGGGTTGTTCACCCAGAGTCACAGCACTTGGCAGAACAGGGTCAGGCGCCGGCCGCAGAGGCATGGAGCCCTCCCCGCCTCCTCCACGACGCCCTCCTGGGAAGCAGAATCATCGTTTGCAAACCATGGAGGTGGAGCTCGTGGGGCATCCCCATGCGGCCCTGGCGGGCAGCAAACGCACAAAAAGCTGACCATCCTGTTTGCTACAATCATCACGCGACCTCGCTTGTCACTTCCCTGGCCATAAAGTAGGTTCTGGCACCACACGTGCCCAGCAGGGCATGTGGTTCAAAGGCCGTGCTCCACTTGTCCCCGTGACCACAGAGGGTCAGTGTTTCCGCGAACTACCCGGGAGAGTTGGCTCAGGAGTGCCGATTCGTTTCAGCAAACATTTTGTGAGTCCCCCAGGACTCACCAGGCCTTGCACTAGGCCCTGAGGACTCAGCGGGGATCCCCTTCCCTGGGGGACCCACAGCCTAAGGAAGTGACTTGGTCACTCTCGAACCTCCAGTGCCCGGAAGGGCTCATTTGTGGAATGAACAGGTGCACTCATGAATTGCAGGAATGCTACATGCTACCAAAGGTGACCCTGGTCACGCTGGTCCCAGCAAGTGACCCTGGAGCAGCTGTGGTCACCCCAAGGCTGTTGGCTCGTCTCCAGGAGGAGGCGGGAGTCAGCACGCTCATTCACCGGCTCAGCAACCCCTGAGCGTCGCCACCAGGGAGGGCCAGTGGTCAGAGGCCACTTCTGCCGGACCGCACGGCACAGTCCTGAGGATGTGGGCTGGCTGTCCAGTTTGGCCAGGCCATGTCCCCTCTGGGTGACTGCTTTATCGCGTGTACAGGACCGTTCTCAGGGGGAAATGAGCTCACACATGCACACGGTTCCATTGCCACTTGTTGGCTCTGTCCTGATAGACCCTGCGTGCTGGTGGAGGCTGCAGATATGGACACAGACGTGTGTTTGTGGGACTTCATGAGGATGTGTCACTAGCTAAATTGCTGTGGGGAGACAGATACTAGTGGACCCCAGAGCTTAGGCTGTGTGGGAGAAAGCCTTGTGGTGTCCAATAAGAGGACAATCTGGGCAATGGAGGTGAAACAGAGAGCCTCAGGGCCAAGGCCAGGATTATGCATCAGTGAATGGGGCTCCCAGAAGGGGAGCCAGTGGGGCGACTGAGGCTCTGTCGGGGAGCCTGGGCTAACGATGAAGGAGCCTGCGTGCCCTGCATGGTGAAGAGCTTGGATTAATCCCCAGGCCATAGGGAGCTATGCAGGAAGGTGACAAGCTCATTGGGGACCATGTGGAGGAGGCGAGAAGGAGAGCGGGCCTTGAGGCAGGAAGGGTGGCTAATCACATTTACAGCTAAAGCCAGTGACAACAC